TTCTCTGTCCACCAACCTGTGATTTGTAGGAGATGCAGGGAAAGGAAGAGAGCTTGGCACACTAATGTTTTTCAAGACTGTTATTAAAAATACATTTTGAAGTGGGTATGAAGTATAGTGCTTTATGGATGCTGCATTGAGGATCTTTGTGTCACATTGGAAAAATGACATTCAAGTTTAGTAGTAGTATTTCTTTCTTTGGATAGCCTGACTCGTGAATTAATTGGTATTCTATTTTGGCTCTTAATATTACCTCTAACTATGAAATCCAAAGAAGATGCATGCACACATGGGGGAAACCACTGTTTTCATTATAGCAGTTTATGTTGCCAAAGAGCCAAGCCATGATTTGTTTAAAAAAGAAAATGAAACCATAGCCAGTCACTTTAGCAATGTGAATGTTCTTATTAAAAGAAAAAAAGGATAACTTTGCTAGGGAACGTTAGCGTTCACACAAGATGCCAGTTAAGGTTTTCCTTCATTTATACTTCAAATATGACACCAACATCGTTTTCATGGCTAGTATGATAATGATAGTGTTTTCTGAACCCTTTTGTCAGAGTCTGGAAAAGAGGGAGTGCTATTTTAAATCTTTGATCCTTGTCTGTCTTTTATTATTCATAATTACTACACTTGGTGTTTTTTTTTAAACCCATTCTTCAGCTTTAGTTTTCCCCAGGTCACAATTTCTAAACTTGATTTTGACTGTTGGATAAGTGTTAAATTTAGTAACATGAATGGTACTTGATCACAGCAGTCCAGCTAATTCATATTACAGTTCATAATTACCATATCCTCCTCTTTGGACTTAGTAGCTTGTTGGCTCATGGAATAATGATTTGTTAAAGCTCTAATTTCTTCCTGTCTGTTGTACTTCATGCCTCTGGTTATCCACAACCATGGTTTTAAATCTGAAGTGTTAGAAATTATAATGCAATATATCTTTTCAATTCACTGCCTAGAAGAGAGCATGAATATCTCAAGTTGCCTTAATTGCTTTCCTGCAGCAACAGATCACTTCAAGGTGGCCTTTATCTAGACCTTTGTGGTTGTTCCGTCACATACATGGAATTTTGACGTGAGCAGCCAGTTCCATTCATTTTAATGGAGGGGTGGAGAAACCTACTTGCATAAAAGCAGGGCATAGTCAATGGAGAACAGAGGGCTCTGTGCCAAAAGCTCCTGGGTTGCCAAATTTCAGTGCCAAATTAGGTGGTGTGGCAGGAGGAGGCAGGGCTGTGGCCTCCACTGCGTTCTGGAGCAACTGCAGAAGTTGCGCAACCATCTTCTAGGTGCTGGTAGCGATGGCATGGATCAGGCTGGATGGAGGGTTTGTGGTAGTACCTTCCAAAGCCCCAGCTAAATGAGCTAAGAAAATCATCACGACTGACTCTTCTGGGATAATTGCAACCTCGTGTTTGGGGACTCTCCTATGCACTTTCCAGGGCTAATGCAAGTGGGTGCTGAGCAGGTTTCTGAATGTGCCAGTAAGGTGCTTGGAAGCTTCTGGCGGGGGGGGGGGGGGTCCTACCTGAGCTGCTACAATGGGCCCTTGTCTTGTTTGGGAGTTGCTGATACCCTCTCTGCTCCACTTGAGCACCATCATCCTGGATGGTCTGAAAGTGGCACTACAGCTACTTGCTTAGTAACTGAGGAGACCAACAGGATTCTCTCTGGTCCATATCTATAAAGAAGAATGCCAAGTTCCCTAGCTGGGCTGGGCTGTCTGTGCTGCTCCCCGACTGCCTTATTCCCTTGAGTGCCTGCCGCTCAGGCTTGTCCACCAGAATTCCCAGGCCACCCAATGGGCCATAACAGTGGTGTGTTTTTCCTCCCTTTGGTAGCCTTTTGCAAACTGCTCATCTCTGCCCCAAAAACTGCTCCAATGCAAAAATTTGTCACCGGCACTAAGTTCTTTTGCAAGTGAATCAGAGGGAATGGACTGCAACCCTATAGACACTCACCTGGAACTAAACCCCCCTGCTCTTGGTGGGGTGCACTTGTAAGCAAACATGCATAAAGAGGATGCTGTTGCTAACAGAGTGTATTTGGGAACTTTAACCTGCGCATTTGAGAGCTGATGTCAGGCCCATAATTTGATGTGGAGGCAACTGGGAGGCAGATTTGGTATTTCAGTGCTGCTTTGTTAAATTCCACGTGATGAAATTTTTGTCTAACAAATGAGAGCTGCAACATCTGTGCTTGTTAAACGATATTGTTCAAAAGCAAGCTGTTTTAAACTAGTACAGCTGTAAGCATAATAAAAACCATGAAGGTATGGGATATTTTATGAAAATGTTTAATTCAACTGTTTCTTTGGAATGTAGTAGTCATTGTCTGGAAATTTAAATTACAATTCAATCCTACTTTTTTTTTTAATGCTACTCAGTGTCCGAGAATACAAACGTCATTTAAAGTTAAGGCTTTGCTGTTCATTTTGAAATAACAATTTAAAAGTGTCATATTGTCATAGAAAATAAAAAATTTCTGTAAAAAAATTTGCACAAAATTTTATGATGTTACAAAACATGAAGCAATAATATACCAGTAAAATGAAATCATTTTACTACAGAAGACTTTTATAGTTTTTTGATAAAGAAAAAATATGTTATTTTACACTTTCAAAATTATGAAACAATCTAAAACAATATAAACTGAACATTTTGTAACACTGCCTTTACAAATTAATAACTTTATAAACATATAATTTTTAAATATATTTATCAGTGCAAGATATTTTTTCCATTTAAAGTTGCAGTATCATTTTTTTTCTTTGCTGAAGGGCAGATTTCATTCAATTCTAGTTTGAAGAAATTGAGTTGTTAATGTTCTTTTCTAGGACTAAGCAGCTACACTGATGGGGTTTCCTAGTTCTATTCATACGAATAGCACTCTGGCTCACGAAACTCAAATATCGATGCTGGAATTACATCCGTCCTGTACTGGGTAATTTTCATGTAACATTGCTTTTTCCGTGATATCACTGTGGCCTGACATCATGTCCTCCTACAGGGATTTATTGGTTCACATAGCAGATTTTAGGACAGCGATACAGGGAGAAAGGATTGGATGCCCAAGCACTGCTCTTGGGTAACTCCATTTGTTTCTGTGGTGTTGGCATCTGTTGAAACAAATGAAGAATACATAGCAGCAATGTCTGGTGGATTTCAGCCAAAACCTTTGCTGTTCCAACTAGAACAAAACAAATTGCTAACCCCACATCCATTTAAACAAATTGAAATGTTTCTCAAATAAACTTAGTTAGGCTTCTGGGAATGGGGTTTTTCCTTTCAGCTGGGAATGTGGGAGAAGATATGCAGAGCCTATTTATGCCTATGTATTCCGAGTTGTCATCTGTGAGCTACTTGCGATGTTACTTTCTTCACATATGCAGTTAAGATCCATGCAAGGTGGTTGCAACATTGTGCCCACTTCTCTGGACATCAGTCCCACTGAATATAGTGGGCTTTTTTATGAGTACACATTCATAGCTTAGTACTGCTCAATCAGGGTTGGGGAACTTGTGGTCCTCCAGAATTTGTTAGACTACAACACCCATCGTCCCTTACGATAGCGTCTGCTGGCTACAGCTAACATGAGCTGCAGTCCAACAAAACTTGGAGGGTCAAGGATTCCCACTCCTGTGTTGGATAGAAAGTGAACATGTCACTTCTGGTCTCTATACAATTCCTAGCACAGTATTTTTGGCACTAGATATTAGAGAATGTACTCCACTGAGATGGAGGGGAGTTTGCACATCATGCTAATCACTTGTTTTGTAGTGCCACAATATGATTACTTACATCTGTGAATTAGCTGTCACAGATAAAACTTTCACATTATCCAGCGACAACTCCAGCAGAATGCTCTTCGATGGAGACCGTTCATAGATTTAACTAAGAGTCAGCAACAGTTGAATAATCAAGGACAGGTTGTGGCTGAGGGGTAAAGCACACACACTGCAGGCAAACAGCTTCAGATTAATTTCTCAGCACTTTTAGTTGCAAAAGCAACTTGTACAGGAAGGCTAGGACGGCTCTTTCTTGCCTTGAGGCCTGGGGACATAGCCAGGTCTCAGCTAGATGAACCAACGGCCTGACTTAGTAGAAGGCAGAAGCATGTGTGTGAACAAGTCCTTTTTCAAAGCCAAGCATTTGACTCATTGATTCTGGACTTTTGCCAAGCTCATGTCTTTGTAATGAACTCTATCCTTCTTAAATGATATCTGCATTCATTTGAATCACAGATCTTAAAATGACTGTGTGACAAGCAGCCCCCAAGGAAGAACCAATAATTACATGATGCAACTAAATATTACATGCAACAAGGGCAGGAGAAATTTATTTGAGCTTGATCTTTTTGGAATAATTAACCAGAGTGTTCCAATTATAGTGGAGGTTGGGGTAACTATATTCTGATTTGCAAGCTCTTTTTGCCAAGGATTTTTAAGGTGAATATTTAAATTGAAAACATCCTTCTTTGGGTGATAACTCATATTGACAACAACCAGAACAAAACCTAGGTTTCAGAAATTTGTTCTTTGGTGGCTACATCAACTGACTATGGAAGGGTGCATTTGATCAAAATATTTACAATGCAGACCTGAGGAGGCAAAATTACCATGTGTTGATTTGCCCCCTTCTGAAATTTAAGACCTTATCTGTGACTTTTGGAGAACAATTCAATTCCTAAATGCATTGCATCAGTTATCAAGTAATTTATGTAGACATTCTTTTTCAATATTAAATCAAATGCACATGAAAAAGAAATACAAAAATCGTAGAGACAAGGGCTCTGTTTTAGCCAATGAAAGAAGCATCTGGTGCCCAATTCCCACGTGTAAGAATCTGGCTTGAAACATTCTTCCCCTAAGAATGCTACTGGGATTCATTCTGCCATATTTTATTCCACTTCAGGGTTAGCATTTTATATGCTTTTTAAAAAGCAAACCTGTTGTTGGAAGAAGCCAGCACAGCACCATCTATTTGTAGCAGCATCGGTGTAACCCTAATTAGCATGAATGACTTATACATAGAGATAATCACCTTTAAATTAGATATCAGGGCTAGTAAATGGCAAGAATGTTCTTTGCTTGAAACAAGAAAATCCTCATCTCAATTAATATGAATGCTGTGTAAAGAATTCAGACTTATCTCATGGCTTACTAAAGGAAGAAAAAAGGATACTGTTACTTTATGATGTTAACAGGAAACCCAAAGTTCAACTTTGGAGAGTAAAGAAGTTTCCCTTACTTTAACAAAACAACAACAAAACAAAACACAAAGTCTAATAAAATCCTCTTTGCCATTACCAGCAAATTAAAGCTGCAGTTTTCCTTTCCTTGGCAATGGCAAATGCTTATGTAACGATCTACTCAGTGAAAAAGAGAGGGAGAGCAAAAGAGAGAAAGAGAGCACTTATATTTGAAAATACATTCTATATGAAAGAACGATAAAAGGAAGAGGAAGAGGGGAAATATTGCAACTTTGTACAAAAATGGTCCAGAGACATAAAATTGGAATACAGGAGGTGGAAGGATCAAGCTGCTAAGTTGTCCAATTGTTTTAGCCCTTGCCTTCCCAAGGTTTACTTACACTAAAATATACTTTCTTGTCAGTGAGCCCTCCGGGGAAGTAATAAGGACAAGGACTTGAACTGGAGAGAGACAAAGCTGGAGTGAATGTTAACACAATGAGAAGCAGTACAAACAAAAAGGCACTTGAGAGGACATACACTAGCCAGTGCCAAGGATTTTTGCTTTGTTTCTGTTGCCGTTCCAGGCAGTACGCGCAGTTTGCCGGTTCTTTCTGGTTGATGGCACATATTTCTTGAATGGAATTCACAAGCACGAAGTTTAGTACAACACTGAGAAACACCAATAAAATTCTGACTGTATTGCTTGGTAAACAGGGCTGACACACTATACCAGTACTGACGTTGCAGTACCCTTTCCCCCCTCAAAAACACCCTAACCCTCCTTTGCCTATGCACAACACAAGCAATTATACACAAATACAGGTTCAGGAATCCATTAAGTTGTGGTTACTTTTCCGGGCACTGAGCTGCAGACAGCATGTCCATCCAAAGGACCCCCACCAAAATACACTTTGTGACAGCATCTTGGATTTTTGCACAGTAAAAAATAAATGTTATTTATCAAAGTAGGGGGTGGGTGGGAAGAAGGAAACAAAGCTGAGAAGGAAAGGAGGGAAGAAAGGAAAGGAAAGGAAAGGAAAGGAAAGGAAAGGAAAGGAAAGGAAGGGAAAAAAAATCATAAAAAAAGTAACACCCCCTCTTAAGTCAATCATACTTGGTCTCAACACCAGCATTTGATAATTTCAAATTAAGAGAGAAAACAGAAATAGACTGTACATGATTCAGATTGTTTAACACAGATTGTTGTCCATGTTTTAGTATATCTGTTACACTCACTGAAGCTCCTGAGAAAAGCTTGGCTCAGCGTCCTCAACGCAGTTTTCAGCCTGTACAGTAAAAGAAGATCCACAGTCCCCCAGCATAAGCTAGACAGATGTCCTTCCATCTCAATTCTCCGAAACTTCTTTAGCTGTTCCTATACCTTCATGCCTCTGAGTAAGTATTTTGTGTGTTCAGTTTATCCTTTTTCAATTTCACACCATCCACAAGTTCGAAATTGTAGTTTTCCAGTGCAGACAAGTTCCTATCGGACATCCCGTTGTGCCAACAGGCGCAGTACAGAATGACACCGCAGATGGCCCCCAGGAGCACCCCTAGCGCACTCATGGCGATGATGGTGATCAGAATGGGGTCGAGGGTCTTCAGCACGTTGCCAGGCTTCCTGGAGACGTTGTCATTGTAGGGCTTCCCAATTTCACGGTAATTGGGAGTGTAACCTGCAGCGGAAGAAAGAGCAGCTAATGTCACAGTGGTAGCTTCAGTGCTGACTAACTGTGGCTGAGACATTGAAGGAGGAATAAGAAGGATTATCTGGATGGAGGAACTTGTTCAGTCATGAATGTTTTTTATCCTTGTCTCTTGCCATAATTATTTATTAAACTATATACGCAGAAAAATTGTTCTGAAAATGACATTCTAAATGGTTCAAACCCTGCCCTGCTGTAAGAAACTAAGGAAAATACCCCTACCCTGTAGGATAAATCATGCCACACAAAAGAATGGATGCAAAATTCTCAAGCATGCATACTGCAGTTCAGATCTTGTGTTTTAGTGGGAAATTAAATCATCCATAGGCTGGAGTGTTTCATGGGAGAAACAAGATCTTTGTAAAATACATAGGGGCTTTTCTATTTGTTTGTTTGTTGCAGCTACTCCTGACAGGTCCTGATCAGGTGGCTGGAAGGAGAGGTAAAACTGCTGGAAACACAGGCTTTGGAATCCTGCTGTGCAGGAACAATGCCTGCTATATAAAGTTTTGCATCCTAACCTCTAATGAAGTTTTCCTTCAGCGTGAAAAGCCAATTCCACACATCAGAAACAGCAAGGTTCTGAGTCAAATGAACTTTCCCAAATGAACCTAACACCTGTTTTGAGGTCCAGGTTCCTAGATTTGTTTGCATACTGCCAAATTATTCTGCAGGCAGAGGCCAATGTTGTTCCCAAATGTCGCTTGCTGCAGCCTAAGACCATTTTGCAAAACCCACCATGATCAGCCTGTGGGTCAGATGCAAGGAAAACAAGTCCTTGCTTTGCCTTTCCACATAATATGTTCTGCACTCATGCCACTGTTGATTTCCCCAGACAGTCTTTGAAACATGACAGTTCCGTAAAATCAGTACACACTATGGGTAATGATGCATCTCTCATGCCACCTGCTATATCTTGGAAAAAAAAACCCTATTGTGTGCGACTGAATGCTGCCATGCATAGCATCTTTTAAAGAGACCTTATATATTTTAAAAGCAGGAACACAACTTAAAGGTTACATGTGCATTAGTAAATAATCCCTGAATGCGTTTATAGGAGAGCTCTTATTATAACAGGGCTTGAAATAAATTAACATGAAGTTATGGCTCATATGACAGTCAAGCCAAATTTTAACTAAAGAAGCACTTTACCTGTTTGATTAATATCTGGCTCAGCTTCGTCTATTTCATTCTCTGCATCATTTGACTCTAGCAAAGCAAAGAAAATTGACATTGATTATTAGACTGACAAATACTGATTGGCTATCATGCTGGCAATAATGGTACTGAGGATTTTTCTTCTGTCTCAGGGCATGATTATGTCAGCTTGACAGAGCTGTTCATTAACCTGGTCTCCCAAAATTAGCAAAGAAGAAAAATGGGTCTAAAAGTCTTCCCTCCACCCCAATTTGGCACAGTTTTAGAGCTATCAGCAGGGGGTTCTGTTTCTGGAAAATGAAAATCAGTAGGTGAAATTAGCATGTTTCATTCATTGTATTTATAATCTTGAAGCCAAGTGCTGTAAAATCTTCTAAGAGCCTTAATCATACACAAGCAGTCATTAACTGCAAGAAATACTTTTGCTGCCTGCAACACGTAAGGAAGGAAGGGTTCAGAACAGAGACCTGCACTTTGAACTGCAAGGCACACAGTCGCTGACCAGGATTCCACCTAAATGACCAGAGGCATGTGGCATTAACTGTGGAATTGCCTTCCACAGCAGGGCTGGACAACTCCAGCGATTCTGGGGCCCACTTTCAACCCACACTGCCAGATTTTGTTGGCAGCTGCAGCTAATCAGCTGGTAGTTGCCACTGAAATTCAGCGGTAAACCATGAGAGTGGCCTTAAAAAGGGCAATGTGTTCCCTTTTTAGGCCTCCATTGCAGTTTGTGGCCAAACGTTGATTGTTTTGCCACTATGGCAAATTTGGCAGGGACTTGACTTAAGGCAGGGTGTTGAACTGTGGCCTGGTTGACCACACCCTTTCTAGAGTCTAGAAACTAGGCTTTTGCACAGTAAAATAGCTGACAGTATTGTTTAATTATAGATGTCTTATCAACAAGACTTTGTATGAAATCTTAGTATCACCCATAGTATGCACAGAACTAGATGCAAGGGTCACAGACTGGTGTCTTCAGGAAATGCTGTAAAACAAGGATGGGGATGATTCTGGTGGGAGGTCATCTCAGGGACAATAGAACTGCACTTTAATGGAATAAAACGTCTAGGATGAATTGACTTAGCCGTCTTTCAGCAGATGACATCCCTCGTTTGGAGAAGAGAGAACCATTCCTGCTCCATGAAAGCCACTTACAACTTGATCCTGTGTGGAGTTAAGTCTTGTTAAGCCCCCAGAAAGTGCCTAACTTTGGACAAAGTAAGACTATCAGTGCTCTAGATTACTTAGAAAGACAAGAGCCTTGCTGGATTAGGCAAGGGGTCCACTTTACTTTCCATCACAACCCCGAGATCTCTTTCTTGTTCAGTCATTGCTAGCTCAGTTCCCATCAGCTTATATTTGGAGTTGGGATGTTTTGCACCAGCTTATGTTGATCAACATTCTGGTGCCCATTTTTCTAGTCTAAAGAGATCCTTTTGGAGTTTCTTGCAGTCTGTTTTCAAAAACCCACTGTGAATAATTAGGGATGCTCAGCAAACTTGACCACTTCACTGCTCATTCCTAATTCCAGATCATTTATGTATAAATTGAAAAGGATTGTCCTAACCAAACCCTCAACTGAGAGAAATTACTATTCTTTCCTACTCCCTGATTTCTGCTATTGAACTAGTTGGTGATCCAAACAGCTCCTCTTATACCATAACTCAACAGTTTGCTCAGGAGTCTTTGGAAAGAATGTTTGTCAAGAGTCTTTTGGAAATCCAAGTAAGCGATACTTACCATACTCGTCTATTGACACTCTCAAAGAACTCTAAAATGTTAGTGAGACTGGACTTACTTTGGCAGGAGACACATTTATTCTTTTCCAGTACAATTTATCCCCTTATAAGCTTACTAATTTTATCTTTAATAATATTTTAAAATCCATTTTACCCAGAACAGAGATTAAGCTACCCGGCTGCAATGCCCTGAATACTCCTGGTTCTTTTTAAACATTGGTTTTACACTGTCTGGCAAAGAAACTGCACTTAGGGACATGTTACACATTTCTATTCAAAGATCAGCAATTCCATATCTGAATTATTTAAGAACTCTAGGACAGATACCATACGGGCCTAGTGATCTATTATGTTTTGATTTGTCAATACAGTTGAGAACTTCATCCTCTGTCACTACTATTTGCCTCAGATTCTTAGATTGCCTTCCATAAAATATGTGCTTCAGCACAGGTATCTGTTTTATATCTTCTGCAGTAAAGACAGGTAAGAATTATGTTTCTCTGCAATTTCCTCAGTCTCTTTTAGTATTCCTTGGTCCAATGGTCCAACTGGCTCCCTACTTGGTTCACTGGTCCTGAAATATATGAAGAATTTTTTATTGGTGCCCTTGATGTAGTTAGTGGTATGATCCTCAAATTGTTTTGTTTCTGGGGGTTTTTTTTGGTGCATCTTTTATTGCCTGCTTGCATCTATGTACAAGCTTGTGCTCTCTGCTGTTTTCCTAACAAGACTTCCATCTTTTGAAGGAAGCCTTCTTTTCTCTAACAGCTTCCTTGATATTCCTCCTAAACCATGACCTCTTGGTCTTGGTGCTACCTTTCCTTAGCTATACTGCATAGTCCAGCTGGGCTCTTATTGTGGTTTTGATTAACCTCTAAGCATTCTGAAGGGATTTAACCTTTTGATTCTCCTTTCAATTTCATTTTTACCATGTCTCTCATTTCAGAGAAGGGTCTCAATGAAATCAAATGTGACTGTTGGATTTCCTTGGCAATTTTCCACTTAAATGTGTGTTTAGTCTGGTCATACTGTGAATACTATTTCCAATAGGTTCAACAACATTCACATCTCATAGTCATAAATTTAAATAGTGTATGGTAAGCATGTTATGATGTTTTAATATGGCACATTTTATACGGTATTTTTAATGTGCTGTTGTAAATTTTCCCAAGAGTTTTGGCTATTTGGCAGTATAGAAATTAATTAAATAAGTACTAAATCCTGGGAAGCTCCCTTTAGGATTAAATCCAGGGCTGCTTCCTTTCTGTTTGGTTCCATGTCCAGCTGTTCTTCCTGTGGCCATCTGTACTTCCTAAGGCTGTGGCATTGCTAAACATAAATCATTGTTGTTAGAAAACAATAGTAATAATTAACTGAAAAGGATAGGTTCTTGCATCTATGTACAAAGCTGCCGCAAACAGACTTGACAATTTCTGCACAAGAGGTTCCTGAAAGGTGATTCTTACTTCGGCATTCTTCTGGTGCTATGCGGTTGTCAAAGTTAATGTCATCCACTGCAATTCCTCCATTTCCTCTTCCAATTTCTCCCTCCACCATCACCTGGAAAAATCAAATTATAGTTTGCTTGTTTAGAGGTGATAGCCATTAAATAGAGCTTAGGTGTTGCTGTTATTAGGACATCCTCACAACAACCATGTGAGGTAGGATAGGTTTAGAGTCAGGGACTGGCAAAAAGTCACCCAGTGAACTCCATGACTGAGAGGAGGGACTAGAATCTAAATTCCTGAAGTCCCAGTGGAACTCTCCAGTTACTACACCACACTGGCTCTCCAACCGTTACTACTACTGTTAGACAAGAACATCATTGAAAAGTGCAAAGTGACACAGTTTGTCACCTTTCAAGGCAGCAGATGCCATTTCTTCTAAACTATTAAGGAACAGCAATATTGGCAGTGTAGTTGCAACTGCAACATGGGGGATAATTTGCAGAAAACATTGTCTCTATTCTGTCCCGCTGCAATATAAGTTTAGGCAAACATACAGTTACAGTCTCCTCTATGCAAATTGTTCATTGGTGTTACTAGTTGATGTTGACCTTGGCCATTTTTACAGAAGTGGATTGAATGGCCCTCCTCATCTTCTTCTTATACTCTTTATGTTACCATACGACTATTATTAATTGGAAAGAAGATGCAGATAAGAATGCAAATGAGTATTTCAGAATGCAACCTGTATTTTGGTTAATCTATGTTTGATCTACTAATGTTTTTGAAGCAAGAATGTCTTTAAACCTCCTGTGTAAAAACGCTCCAAGGCTGCCTTGCTATGGTAGTTGTCCCTGTCCCTTGAGAGGATTTTCCGCAGATCCCTTGCTGCCTGAGACAAAGCTGATGGTGATCAAAAAGAGCACTTTCTTAGTGGTGCCCTTCCTTGTGGAATTCCTGCTCCCAGAGGCTGCCTTGCTACACTGCTTTCTGGAGAGCACCATGCAAAGTCATGTTTAGCCTCCGAGATACTTACATTTTAAGTTGTTTTAGCTACTGCAACTCTCTCTCTCTCTCTCTCTCTCTCTCTCTCTCTCTCTCTCTCTCTCTCTTTCTCTCGTATGTGTGTGTGGGGGGGGGCAGGGGAGTAGAAAGACAGGGAAAAGGCAATAACAAATAGATTAATGGCAGAAATGCCATAGTTCACTGGAAGAAGGTATGTTTTGTACATGCAGGGGTTCAGTCCCTTGAATTTTCATTCAGCTTAGGTTGTGGGTATTGTATCTGGGAGCTCTGGCACACAAAATATTTGTTCTAACACTGAGCTATGGGCTCTGCATTTTGATATTTCTTTGCCTACCTGATAATGTTTCACGGATTTGTGGAGAAGGACCCGCCCTTCTTTCCAGAAGTCCCCCTGATCTCCACTCAGCATCCACAAAACCTGATCATACTCCTTAGGTGTCCGATAGCGCAGCTTGATTCTTAGCGTGCCAACGTGGGGACCCGACATATGATACCAGAAAGTCATGCAGAGTGCAGAGTTCTGTGGGTTGATGATGGGGCTGATGAGCCGTGCAACTTTGCCTTTCTGGTTTTCATCAGCTTGTGAGTAAATGAAATTGCCATCTCCTGCTGTGACAAAAATACTGCATTAGAAATAATGGCCCATTTTTGGCTCCCTTAAGCCTGATAAGCCTTAAGCATTCCAAATCCAATCTGGCCTTTTCTGAGGATTTGTGACAGAACTGTAAATCTGGAAAAGGCTTGAAGGTCATCAGATGTACTCCCCTCTGGCCTGACGGTCTCCTTACCAGCAAGTCACAAAGCTTCACAAAGGGACGTTCCCTACACAGGATCTCACAAAGGAGAAGGCTCCAGGGCACTGGACCATTCAGGTGGGGAAGGAAAGGAGCATGACTTTGCTTATGTTTGAATGACACTATGCGGGGAAGGGCAGTAGATGGCGGAAGGAAGGAGGTGGGAGGGATCCATCGAGAGGAAGCCAGCCAGCCAAGTGACCTGCCACAGCCCACGGACTGTGGTGGCACGAGCAATACAGCCATAGTTTTACTGGTGTTTCTCAGTGTGGTGCCACCACCACTCAGCATGCCTGCTTGTGGTTCTGGGATAACTCCCCGCATTGCTTCTGAAATCAGCCAACTCCTGTCAATATATGTCTATCCCACTTTTTCCCATGTAAAACAGTGACAACTGTTTTGGTGTGGGATAGTGGTTGCTCTGCTCTATTATATAGTGGCTCAACAAGAGAGAGCTGTACCAGAAAAGAAGAAACCAGATCCATGGTGCTTCTGTGGAAATATTTCTAGATTATGGCTCTGGAATGTAAAAGGTACCTGAAATTCTAAAGCCTGGTGATGACAAATCCTCATTTAAGGAATATCATTTCCCCCCAGTTCTTCGATGACAGAACAAGTTGTGCTTGTCTCCAGACACTGATGGCAAAGTTCAAATATTTTTCATTTCAAGAATATTATTGCAGCTCAGGGTCAGGAACTCTGCCTTCCTTGTCTTAATTAGAGCTCAACTTATGCATGCCTTTTAGATTTTGTCAGTCCTTGGCTAACATGGCTTTTAACCTCCCTTCAATGTCAGATCTTACTGAGTCATTTCATTTTACTTTGCATCAATTTTCCCCATTATTACAGCCTTCATTTCATCTAACTGCCTTTTGCTTAATTTGATGCCATTTATTTGTACAGTGCCATTTATAGTCAAAGTATTTTAAGTTTTTTCCCCCTAACCCCTAAAACTAAATGTACTTGTCTTGAGATTCAATTAAAAGTGTCTCTAAATTTAAGGAGCCCAATTTTGTCTAATTTCCTTGTCATTCTCATTAAGTAAAGTGGGGGAGGGTCACAGAAAGTGGAGATGGGGAGTTGGGTGGATGGGTCATTGCTCGCACATTTGACTTATTTGCATAACTAAAAAGCGAGCAATTATGGAGAGGCACTTGGGTCATAAAATGCTCTTTGCTCACTGGGTTTTGTGAGTAGCATTGAAAAACAAGCGGTAAGCATGTGGCATCTCGAGATCTTACTAAGAAGGAAGCCCTCCTGACAAAGGGGTAACTGAAGTTACAGGTGTAGCCTAATCGCCTCAATATTTCTTAAAGGAATTTCAAAGTGCACAGACCTTTTCATCAATGCAAAATCTGGTAACATAAAATACCAAGCCTCTGAAAGCTGTCTAGCTTGCTCCTTACTCCCACCCACCACTGCACCAGCTGTGAACCCCACGTTACCTGTGTGGTCTTGAATGGGCCCCGTTTTGCTCGTGAGCACTGTCCACCTCAGCTCTAGCTGGCCATCATCCTCCCAGCGGCAGATTGTTTTCTGAGAACTGTAGCCAAATCCACAGTTGAAGCCATATGCTGGGAGCTCTTCAGTAATGGAGTAGGGGAGAGGGAGAGGGAGAGAGAAGTATACTGGTAAGCTAATACTGCACATTGTTCCTCTTAAATGTCTCTCCAACTCATTTTACTAAATCCAACATCCAACTCATTCTACTAAATCCAACATCTGTCCAAGGCATTTGAATAACATCTGCCTGACTCTGGCACCATTTTCTGATAAAGATCAGATGATGAGACAATCTTGGCTGCAGAGCAAGCACCAGACCATAGTTTGCTGGTCTGGATGTAGTAAGAAATGATGGCTTGGCACAAACCAGGAAGGGCAGTGCCAGATGTGAGGATCTCACAGCCTTGGGTCCCTCCACTGGGCCATCTCTGGCACCAAGTCCTGTTCCCTTTATCAGCAGGAGTGGGTCACAAGTAGCAGCTTGACCTTGAGATATGACACTGAAGAACGGATTGAGCGATGTTTGAGATTGCTCTGGAGGATTCTCTGAATTCCTTCCTACTGCTCATCTTGTCCCCAATTTTCATTCACATTTGAGATCATTGTTCCTTCTGCATCACTAGGAAACATGTGTAAATCTCCCCAAATATGTCTGAATCTCTCCACATTTGTGTGGATCTGCTCTTATCTGTATGAATTTCCTGCACAGACTAAATTAGGACTGATTCAATCTACTGAGAACATTTGCCCAAATTAGAAAAATTGCAGAAATTGAACTGAAATGAGAGAAATGTGTCCTTGTGCTCAACAATCAGCAAATATTTTGGGTGGGCATTTGATCAGATTCACATCCAGAACTTTGAACAGTTTTGCATGCAAAAACAAAATTCAGGAAACATTCCTACGTCAAGGGAGGGATCAGGACTTAATAGCAGAGCATTGTTTTGCTTGTAAAAAGTCCCAAGTTCAGTGACTGGTACCTCCATATAAAATATCTAGTAGCAGGTGATGGGAAAGATCTACGCTTTAGTGGCTTAAAACTTTTTAATATCTTTATTTGATTATATTTTGTTGTATTTTTATATCTTGTTTTTATGGACTGCACAAACTGCCCATAGAGCTTCGACTGTGGGATGGTATAGAACTGGAATGAATAAAGAAAGAAATAAATTCTCTCCTGGAGACTCTGGAGAAACACCAGCAATCATGGGAGAGAATGCTCTACTCGGTGGACAGATCAGCTGAGATGGTGTTATAAGACTTGTAACAAGGATATAGATGTGTCGCTATAACTGCATTTGAAATGCCTTGAAAGTAATATTTACTTTTTAATGTTGGTTAATGGACCTGCCAATGCCAACGATCAATGGAGCCACCAACGGACAATAAATCACATCAATTTTAATGAACAGCATTCATGTGAAAGTCCTCAGCACTTACAAATGTAATGTACTTCTCCCATGCATTAGCTTGCTTCCTGAGATACAACTGGGGGTGCTGATGTCTGTAGAGAGCTCTATGAAAGAGGGGTCTGCTCAGTTACTTTCCAATTTCAGAGAATATGTGACACGTTAAAACCCTATTAGAAGGATTTCCTGATGGACTTTGGAGCCTATCTAGCAACCGTAGAAAGGTAGCCTCAATATTTGAATTCCTGATCTACATTTAATAATCTGTTTCTTGCATCTGCTTGCTGGGCATGTACTTCAAGAGTTTATTAGCGCTCTAGAAAAACTATTCCCAGTGTTGGAAGAATATTTTTTAACGTTTCAATTTCATTCTGCCTTTTCACACCAGTCCAGATAAAATCCAGGTACAGAAACAAGTTCAAGAACTGTAGTGTTAGGCAAACTGCATGTACTTCCATATTCTGGATTCACATTCAGATGTGCACCAAAATGCAGATGTTGACTGTACCATCTCAGTCACCATTCTGGTACAGCTAGTTACATTTGGCTATGAATTATGCATTATTATTAATTTAAACATTTCTATACTGTCCATAGCCAAAACTCTCTGGGCAGTTCATAACAATTAAGACACCTATCCAGATTTCAACCAGGCCTGACCCTGCTTAGCTTCCAAGATTAGATAGGATCAGGCACTTCAGGATATATGGAAACTATATGTATGATTACAAAACTATGCATGACTTGGGTGTTGGGCTATGCATGTATCCCATAATGCAATTAAAATAATTATTTCAAAGAGAGGGATCTCCAGGTGAAAAGAATGTAAGCAATTATTACTTATTGTTCCAACACCTGTAAGACATTTTGGGTGCTTATATTTCCTGCTTTTGCAAAGTGATTAAAATATTACAAGTACTAATAAGTCTTTGTAGGACTAATAAGTAATCACAATCAAATAAAGCAAATTTTTTACATACACTTGAACTGGCCCACAAGATGGCAGCATTTAAAAGAATACATTGAGAAAGGAAAGAGAGACAAATGTGGCCTACAGCCAACCAAAGACAAAACAAGCTTCAAAAGAATCCCCTTGTAAAACAAGGGAAGTCTGGCATTATGTAGCCTATTTTGGTCAGGATGAGATCATATCTTGTTTTCAGCATCTCTTCAGTTGTGCCAATGATCTTACATGAAACAGTTTATTAGTTTTCAATGGAACCTGTGTGTGGACAACTCCCAGATGAATTTCAGTGGGGAAAGCCCTTCAACAGAATGAGTGGGATTCTTTTGTGTTGTTTTTCAGAAACATTTTCAAAATATGCCAAATTCCTTTCATATAGTCAAGAACCTTTGGAAGAAAATGCCCATCTTAACCGTGGACAACTCCCAGATGAATCACCCTTCCTTCTCTCTCAACGGCTAAGAGGGTCAATGCCTGAAGACATAACTCTTTTTTTTTAATAATCCCTAATTAAAAAAGGGAAAACACACTCCCAAGAATCTCATGGCAGTCCTGAGTAACTCATAGTTGAAGTATTGTCTTGCTGTCATGATTAATTGTGCTTTGGCTTCAGCTAGGAAGACTAATAGCGCAACAATTCAATCCTCTTTTCCTGCAGGACAAGCCTGAAAAGATGGCATACCACACTGGTCATCCACTGGTGGATTGCGACCCGCTGCTGTTTGGCTGCACAGTCACATCTCAATCATTTAAAAATGTTTTTAAATGAAATAAATCAAGAGAAAGAAGGAAAGAGAGATAGAAAGAAAGGGAGGAAAACTCTCTTTCTCTCTCTCAATATAGAGTGCATATTGGGTTAAAGCCTAGTCTTCTGGGCCCCAAAGGGCAATCCACCCCAAGGAAGTTCTGCACTCCAGCCTTAAGATCATACATCTGCATTGCAGAAGAGGTTCAGGTCAGCTGTGCCACATGGAGTTCTACTTCCAGTCTGCATTAGTTTGAGACAATGATTTTTAACTGTGTTAGTACAGGTACTGCATAAGAATAAAACACAAGTGATCCACTTCATATCTCCTGCAGGAGCTCCGGACTTCTTTTCTCATAAGTGAGGTAACAACCCAAAGTGGCTAGACTCCTATTTTAATATACTGTTTAAATTAATGGATGATAAAGTCCAATTGCCCTTTGTGAATTAAATACAGATTAAATCTCTCTCTCTCTCTCTCTCTCTCTCTCTCTCTCTCTCTCTCTCTCTCTCACACACACACACACACACACACAGATAGAGAGAGAGAGAGAGAGAGAGAAGATGCCTCCCCCCCAAATCACATTGGAGCATTTAAAACATGGGTGGGCCACGGTTTTTGCTCCCAAGAGTTCCGTATGGACAACAGGTTGGGACACTCCATACAGACAGTGATTATGGCCAGAATCGGTGGTAGACAGGGTCTGTCTCCCCCTTCCCTCACCTCCCCTGCACTTTCCTATTCATTATCATATGCACACACAGCTCTCTTCTGTTTTCTCTCTTTCTCTGCTTCTCTCTCTCACACACAGAAGCAAACACACAAAGACACATGCACAGAACCACACCCAGTCTCCCTTTCCTCCATCTTAGTGTGTGGCAGCGGGCAGATCTGAACTTCCCCTCCAGGTGTGAAATCCATCACTCCCTGTTCCAAAGATGGTTGATTAGCATTCAGTAGCAAGCAAAGAGTGCCCATCATGTGTTCCTCTGCTGTTTCCAGGGCTCCGCAGCCGGGGAGGTGTGTGATGAGGCCTTCATGACCCGCAAACTGCTTCCCACTGCTCAGCTCATTGGCAGTGGGTGATGCTTTCAGGTGGCCAAGTGACAAGGCCAAACTAGACCGCGCCGCCATCCACCGCCCACTTGGCTGCTCCGCCACGCCCCAGCACGTGTGGCAGGCGTGCTCCGGACGAGGCGGGGGACGCAGGGCCGGCGGCTACAAAGCCCGCGGGAGGAGCGCGCCAACAGCAGCACCAACTGCGCCCGGCAGCCTACGCCGGAGGAGGGCCGCCTCCTCGCTGTATAAGACCGCGCCGCGCCGGAGGGGAGCCGCTGCCTTGCCGCGTAAGACCGCGCCGCCATCCACCGCCCACTTGGCTGCTCCGCCACGCCCCAGCACGTGTGGCAGGCGTGCTTCGGACGAGGCGGGGGACGCAGGGCCGGCGGCTACAAAGGGCGTCGGCCAAAGGGCGGTCGCCGCCGTTCGGGTGGCCGAGCAGGGGGCGGGGCTGGCCAGGGGCTTGCGCTTGGCGATGGTAGGCCCTCCTGCTGGGCTGTGAGTGAGGGGTGAGTGTGTGTGTGTGTGTGTGTGTGTGTGTGTGTTTTTAGTAGTATTTTAAATCTTTTTATGGAGTCGTCCCTGGCCATGCTGCCGCTTATGTTTCCTGGGGAGCGCACGGGTGCCGCCATTGAGGTGGTTATGGGCAGGGGACGTAACAGCGTTGGGAGCTTAACGTGTCCGCATAGAAGAAGGAGGGACAGATGGCTGACACCTGTCCCTACTTCTGGTTTTGCTCCCAGCCAGAGGGTGCCAGGGAGTCTCGTCAGTCGCCCCTCCAGCCTGACGGTGCTGTTGCTTAATGCCAGGTCGGTCAATAACAAATCTGCCCTCATCCAGGACCTGATTGTGGATGAGGGGGCCGACCTGGTCTGCATAACGGAGACCTGGGCGGGAGAGGG